TGAAGAACAATGATGAAGATGCACTGAAATTAGTATATCAGGAAGCTTACTGACTACTGGAGAGACCAAACTGGCCTACAAGAAAGACCAAATGAAGAACAGAATAGAGGCATGGGCAGACAAAGCACTACATGGCCAATACGTTAAAAAAATAGCTGGGAAAGCAGATAATAACAAGACCTGGCAATGGCTAAGAGCAGGAAAATTGAAGAAAGAGACCGAGGGACTAATTCTGGCTGCACAAGTCCAAGCCTTAAGGACAAATGCATATAAAGTCAAAATTGAGAAGACAGCAACAGACAGTAAGTGCTGCCTATGCAAAGACACTGAAGAAACAGTAGACCACCTGGTAAGCTGTTGCAAGAAGATTGCACAGACTGACTACAAGCAGCGGCATGACAAAGTAGCAACAATGGTGCATTGGAAGATCTGCAAGAAATATCATTTGCTTGTAAGCAAAAACTGGTGGGATCATAAATAGAGAAAGTCATAGAAAATGATAAAATTAAACTGCTCTGGGACTTCAGAATTCAAACAGACAAGCACCTGCAACATCACACCCCAGACTTAACAATGGTCGATAAGAAAGACAAAAAAGTCTGGATAGTGGACGTGGCAGTGCCTGGAGATAGCAGAATAGAAGAGAAAGAACTGGAGAAGATCACAAAATACAAAGACCTACAAATAGAAATAGAAAGACTGTGGCAAAAGCAAGCAAGGGTAGTACCAATAGTAATAGGCTCCTTAGGTGCAATCCCAAAACAACTGGAGCACACTTGAACACCATTGGCATTGACAAATTCGCTATTAGTCAATTGCAAAAGGCGGCCTTATTAGGAACTGCTTCCATCCTGCGACGATATCTGTAATACCATCAAACATCCACATCTGCCTATCCCAGGTCCTGGGTAAGGACTTGATAGGGAGACAAAATGCCAAATCCAGTCTGAACATCTGGCTGACTGTGCGATGATCAATAATAATAATAATAATAATAATAATAATAATAATAATAATAATAATAATAACAATAACAACAACAACAACAACATCTGGCTGACTGTGTGATGATCAATAATAATAATAATAATAATAATAATAATAATAATAAAAATTGGAAGGGACCTGGGAGGTCACCTAGTCCAACCCCCTGCTCAGGCAGGAAAGCCTATACCATTTCAGACAAATGGCTATTCAGTCTCTTCTTAAGAACGTCCAGTGTTGGAGCATTCACAGCTTCTGGTGGCAGGCTGTTCCACTGGTTAATTGTTCTAACTGTCTGCTTTCCCTTATTTTTGCTTAACTCTGAGGGAAATTGGAATAAATTTTTTTGGGGAAAAAAAGATAGATGATCAAAGGAATTGCAAAAAAGTATAGACAGAGGGAGTGACGCTGTGACTCCGAGCTCCAAGCAGTATAAACCAACCAGCAAACATGTTTTAAACAAAATAAATATTAGCCCACAAAAACAAGGTGCAAACCATCACCAGGAATTGATTTGTTCCCCTGTATAAATAGCCCCAGCCTTGAATGGATGCGTTATCCTTGCATCATGTTTTTCAGATCAGGGGAGAGAAATCCTGATGCTCTTATATTCTCAAGAAAAACGTATTCAAAATCCATTGACTGACCGATACGTTTCTAGAGAACATCCTAATAAGGCAATTTCTACCCTGGATCCCTTCTCGGTGTTCATGTGGGGCAAAGCTTGTGAGCACTTCTAAAAATAATCGTGGTTTTGTTTAACATGGAATCTACTTAAGAAAAATACAGGTGGTCCTTGACTTACAATCGTAATGGAGCCATGATGTCACTAAGCCGAGACACTCACGTGATGGGACTAAATGCTACAACTTTGCTGCAGCGGTCATTAAGCGAACACCACAGTCGTTAAGCAAATCGAGAATTTTCCTATGGCTATTTTTTCGCCGGAAGCCGGCTAAAACTGCAGGAAATTGGTAAAACAATGTTGTAACTCACAATCACGTGACCCCACTCATTTGCGTATCTCTGTATGCTTTCTTTTTCACTGTTTATTCTATTATTCCATTATTTGACTACCGGTAGTCCTTGACATACATCCACTCGTTTAATGACCGCTCAGAGTTGCAGCAGCAACTGGAAAAAGGGACTTAGGACTGGGGTTCACGCTTAACGATCGCTGCGACATCCCCTTGGTCACGTGATCAAAATTCAGAGGCTTGGCAACTGGCATGTACCTATGACAGTTGCAGTATGTTGGGGTCACGCGGTCCCCCTTTTGCGACCTTCTGACAAGCAACGTCAATGAGGAAGCCAGATTCACTGACTACTTAACAACTAATAATAATAACAACAACAACAATAATAACAACAATAATAAAGTTAGAAGGGATCTTGGAGATCATCTAGTCCAACCCCCTGCTCAGGCCGGAAACCCTCCCGGGGTAGGCAACCTTGGCTCTTTTATGACTCGTGGACTTCAACTCCCAGAATTCCTGAGCCAGCCATGCTGAGGGAAAAGGGAGAGTTTCCAAGCTGAGCCATGCTGGCTCAGGAATTCTGTGAGTTGAAGTCCACGAGTCATAAAAGAGCCAAGATTGCTTACCCCTGGCCTATACCATTTCGGACAAATGGCTGTCCAGTCTCTTCTTAAAAACTTCCAGTGTTGGAGCATTCACAGCTTCTGGTGGCAAGCAGTTCCACTGGTTAATTGTTCTCACTGTCAGGAAGTTTCTCCTTAGTTCTAGGTTGCTTCTCTCCTTGATTAGTTTCCATCCATTGCTTCTTGTCCTGCCTTCAGGCGCCTTGGAGAATAGCTTTGGAGAATAGCTTGACTGCAGTGATCCACTTAACAATGATGGCAGGAAAGGTCATAAAATGAGGCAAAAGTCACTTAACCAATATCTCGCTTAGCAGTTGCGGCCGTACATCAA